CTCTCAAGCATTGTATTTAAACTTGCAGGTGTAATTGGAAATGCAGGATTTAATAAGTCGCTGGATATGAGTGAAGGTTGTAATATATGTCTCTCTCAGCTTCATTAAAAATGGTACAGGGTTAGAGTCCCTGTTTTCTCTTTAAAGGCAGTGTTTTTGTTTTATAAGCTTGTTGGTTTTTTCTATAGGGAAATTAAGTTTTCAAACTTGATTATATACAGGAATAATTTATTTTGCTTTCCCTAAATGGTTCGGCAGAAACAGACATGGATCGTTTTATTCATCATTCTCCAAGATCTCAAATCTATTCATTCAACATTCTTTAAGCAGCTGATATGGCCCAGGTGCTGTACTAATCTCTGAGCTAAGAAGAACACTAAAACGTAGTACCTACCCTCAAGGAGTTAAAATTAAATCAAAGTTTTATAAAGGGCACAGTATTAATAATTCTTGAAATGAACATCTTGTTATCCTTCTAATTTAATTATGGATCTGAGACATTTTTTGTTATGTTCTGCTACTTTGGGCATGCTGATATGGAAAGGATTCTAAAGGCTGCATGTTTGCCAAGAAGCTCTGATAAATCAGTCAGAGTCCAATAGGAAATATTAAACCCTGACCATAAAACATAACGCCAGTGTGAAATTCTAGCAAGCCATTCTTCACCAACTTTTCCTTTCCTTTCATTTGATGCCCTACTTTGGTTTAATTGAAATTCATTGGAGATTTAAATTTTGTGTAATTAACAGAAACTCTAAGAAATACACAGTAGCAGTGTCAGTTGTTAGAGACTGCAAGTGGTTACTATTTAATTGCTGTCATAATGGCCCATTAGTCATGCCTCTAAAGAGGTGTTAGGTACTTTTTTCTCCTTCTGAAACATCTGTGTGATTTAATAAATTGAATAAGCAAGCCAGAGGTTGCACAGAATACTAAGTAAGTTGAATAATTACCTCTCGAGAGGCATTCTTTGAAGCATTGTCACTCTGAGTGTGGAATTTATTTTGTACCTTTGACAGTAAAGTGTTTTCTTTCACTTCCACCCTATTCCACAGATATTAACAAAACATTTTTCTTCTTCACTCTGAATTCCTACACATCTTCCTTTTTATAGTAGCATATTATGCAGTGGTAATATTGCAGGGTTACTATATAAGGTGTAAAGTAAGGAATTGTTTTCATTCTATTTTTCTGGGAGTCTAGATTATGGCTTCTGAGCTCATGAATGGCAAA